TAGGTAGTCAGATGAAAGGAAAAAATGCCTCAATGAGCCCATTGCTCCAGTGCAGCTAAATTGTTGTAGCTACAGAGCTTCTAATTAAAAAACAAGCAGACTGCTTAAAGCGCGCGAAAACCTTAGTCACCAAGCCAGAATTAATTGCAGCTCTACACACAATTTATGGAGAGGTTTACGCGAGTCTTTTCGTATCAATCACAGATAGTGTGATGAAAGTTACACGTTTAAATTAAAAGATTCCGTTCGCGTATTTCCGCTACTTGTCCGTAGTCTTTGGAACATCCGAGTTGTTTATACGTCAAATTGTTGCCAATGTTCTGTTGCTGTTATTATTTGATGTAATTTGCTGAGTTCGATTTTTCTGTTTTGTACTTGCAGGTTCTAGCCATGTCAAGTCGCTCATGGCTGAGTTATTCTTATCAGTCGAGATTCCATCTTACTCCACTGTCTTACGAAACGCTGGAATACGCTTCCAGCTTCTCGTCCGAACAATGTCCTGAGGGAATTGTAGCCATCTCTGCCAACACGTTGAGGTGGGTTGAAGAGAAAATCATTTGCCGTAAAATTCTAAGTATAATTTATAATCTTTGACCCTTTACCACCCTAACGTTGAAGTATCTATATTCTCCGAATTGTTCTCCATACAATTTCAAAGGTACTGACAAGGAGAATTTGATAAACAATCAATGGAAAAAGCTTATTCAGCCGGTGATCATTTCCTTTGATTCAAGGCTGATGTTGTTTACAGAAATTCGATGCTAGTAACCAATTGTCTCAATTCTTAACCGTGTTACTGTTTCCGTTTACTTCATCATTTCAATCTTCTTCAATACTTCGATTCTTGAATCTTGCAAACCATTAATGGAAGAGTTTTCTGTAAAAAAAAATTCGACGGAAACATTCGAACTTGGCACTTTTAAGGGAGCATTTTTACTTCATGGTATGACGTAGTCATACTATGGGGTTCTATTCACTCACTCACTCGATTTTCATTTGGTAGACAATTAATTTATGGATTAAACTCGTTATTTGTGCTGGGTTTGAATTTAGACAGCAATAAATTTGACGTTATTATCTAACTCTTCATTTATTTCTGGTCATTTATTTTCAAAGGATTTTAGCCCTCGAGAAACTGGGCGCAGTCTTTAATCAAGTGGCAACTCCCTTGCGGTACACCCCAAGGAAATTTGTCATCCACCCCCAGAGTAACAATTTAGTTATCATAGAGAGCGATCATAATGCTTTCACTGATGCAGCCAAAGAAGAAAAGAAGCAGCAAATTGCCGAGGTATGTACAGGATATTAGGTCAATTCTTACTGCAATTTGATCTTTGAGAGATTTCCTAGAATAATTATGACTAACACACTCAGTACTGGAATGTTTAAGAAGTTCTGGAGCTCGGTTGTGGCAAAAATTGAGATTTGCCAGTGTGTCGCCTATCAGTTACCTGTTCGAGCTTTTGTTTTACGTAAATAAGACTTTTGGTAAAAAATTGGTCCCCTCGTCACTGACAAACCACAATGGTTTGCACAACCTCACTATGGTTTGCGCAACCTCACTATGGTTTGCGCAACCTCTCTATGGTTTGCGCAACCTCACTATGGTTTGCGCAACCTCTCTATGGTTTGCGCAACCTCACTATAGTTTGCGCAACCTGACTATGTTTTGCGCAACCTCGTCCAATACGAAGAAGCTTCGGTTAGCAAACGCCATCAGTTTACATCGACATTTTAAGTTGTCAACTTTGTCATGGTGGTGCTAACTTTTAAAGAAGAAATAAGAAAGTGATCTTTTACTGTTGGTCGTTTGGATTTCAGGAAATGGTCGAGGCTGCTGGCGACGATGAGAAGGAGCTTGCTGCACAAATGGCGGCTGAGTTTCTGAGTGAGGATCTCTCTGAGCTGCAGTTTGGTGCTCCAAAAGCAGGACCAGGAATGTGGGCATCTTGTTTGAGAATGCTGGACCCTATTAAGGTTGATGTGCTTAAGAGTGTTGTAAACATTAAGAAAAAAGTATAACATCACAGCAGTCAATTGGAACGAAAGAAAATGTCACAATGAACCAATGAGAAGTTAAGGATAGCGCGGGAAAACGCGAATGACCCACGTGATCAAGTCGCGTTGGTCTCCGTTTTCTATCTGATTGGTTAAGAGAATGTTGCGAGTATCCTGGACCTATCACCAAACATAGTGAAGCAAAACCGATGCAAAAAAAAAAAAAAACAATCTTCGATCACTTTAGGCCCTCGATTGAAAATTGTCCTTTGCGTAAAACACGAGTCAATGTTTGATTACACCCAAGTTCTGAAAAAAAGTAAAAATAAGACGTAAAGTGGAGGAGTTTCGAGGTAGTTGAGAAACTCGATCATACAATATGGTAAATCAAAGGAAGGAAAAATGAAAAATGAAAAAATGGTCGACTGATGATTATTTGCAAACTTCGTGTGGTACGCATTTTGTCGACAGAAACTTACTTATTGCTAAGAAGGTATTCAACGCAGAATACCCTTTTTTTTTCCCATTTTTCCACTCAGATTCCATTACATGACAATACGTAGAACAAATAAGGTTATCCGCGTATCAAAACTTGAATCAGTTACATAACGGAAGTTTTATATTTTCTTTTAGGGAGAAACAGTTGACGAAGTCTGCTTGGATCAGAACGAATCCGCAGTCAGGTTAGTTTGCGCTCAGACCTGCTATGTTTGACGAACTTGGAGTCAAAAGAAAACAGATGTCACTAAACAGCTGATTTCGATGCAGATTTCTTTCCCCCTTGATTCCTATAAATAGATAGGTCAGGGTAAAAGTCTTCAGACGTCCCTATATAAAGTCCCTAACCGTTCTTCTACAAACCTTGCCGATTTCTTGATTGGTTTTGACTCCAACAACTTTTAATGTGTTGTAATGGTGAGACAGCGGTTTTGTTCCACAGTGTATGCGTTTGTAACTTCACCTGCCGCCCTGACGAAACATACGCGTTAGTTGGCACGGCTAAGGATCTTTCACTTAATCCGCGGTCATGCGCAGGAGGCTATATATACACGTACAAGATTGCTGAGTTGATTGATGGAGGATATAAACTGGAGTTTGTCCACAAGGTAAGGATTAGTTTATTTTCGACACACCCTGTAGCCTGTTCCAGGCGTTGACGTATTACAAAACTGGTGGAAATGGGAGCGCGTAACCGAGACGATCCACTTGTAGGGAGTGTACCCTGATCCAGGCGTTCATTTGTTATTATTTATTTTATGACAAACAATTGCATGTTTATGTTTCAAGAAGTGCTTACTGAAAATTTGAGGTCAATTCCTTTTATTCTCTATTGAGAGGGTCTCTTTTCATGCATGCTCTTTGATTTGTTCTGTTTATTTCAGACAGAAGTTGATGACATTCCAGGAGCATTGACTCCATTTCAGGTTCGTTTAGTTGATAATTAGACTAGCTTAGCTGAGGTAGTCAAGGGGGAGGAGGGTGAGGTAAATAAATTTTTATGTGGAGAGGGATGAGAAATGTTTGGCGTGGTGTGTACTACTGAACTCGAAGACTGTTTTGCTTTAGCAACCCAAACAAATGCTGCCTCTTCACGCCTTTTTAAATCGTATCTGAGACTCCCAGAATGAACACTAAGACCTTCCACTCTCTTAGCTTCCGTCCACTTGCCTTTGTTTGGAAACATTCAAACGCCATTTGACGTAATAGAATCGTTTCAGTGAACTAGGTATTGTTCTTCAATAGTGAAAGGGCGATCATCCTCACTACTGAGGTTCCTTACCCAGGGGTATAGGGTGAGCACTTTGGGAACAAGGCTTTTACGAGCAGCAGTCATTCGCCGTATCGCCATCAAGGAGTTACAAAGGGCCTTCCTTGACCGGCCATTTGGACCGTTCATGTAAACCAACTGCAGTCGTTGTGAAGCAACACTGCATTTCCGAGCCATCTTCCATTAGCCCAAACGTGTCAACTAAACTCAGAAGTTTATGAACTGTGACAACGATACTGTATCGAGTTGCAAACTATTTTACTTGCCATTGTAGTCACCACGAGGAATACTGAAGGTTTAAAGTTACGACTGGAAAACATTAATTTACTTCCGACAACCCAAATATGAATCCATCTCGAATTCCATTGGTTTTTTTAAAACTGCAGTCTAAGTCGGACTTCATTAAGGTAACAGGTCCTTTATATTTGTATTATGTGACTCTAGGGGCGCCTTTTAGCCGGTGTTGGACGACTGTTACGAATCTATGACCTCGGAAAAAAGAAGCTCCTTCGCAAATGTGAAAACAAGGTATGGTCGTATTCGACTTGTTCTGCACAACAGCCTCTCGCGGGGAGACTATATATTGTTATCACTGAAATAATTTGTTTGTCATTTCACTAATACAATCAAGAATTTTTACTTCATTTTTACCAGAAATTGCCAAACTTCATTATGGGACTGAACACAATGGGAACCCGAGTAGTAGTGAGTGATATTCAAGAGTCGTTTCATTTTGTCAAGTTCAAGGCTAGAGAGAATCATTTGGTTATATTCGCCGATGATGTAAATCCAAGGTATGTGATCTTTTGTTTCACCCGCTACTTGAAAGTAACTTGCGCAAGACACACTCAGGCCTTGGATCTCTAAATCTACTGTTAAGCGCGCGCACCATTATCACCCATCAAAGCTTAACAGTTTTAACAGCGCGGCACTCGGTTATCTTCCTTGATAAATCTAACGTTATAAATAGACTGCATGACGTTGTTATCTCGATATGAATGATTATTTTAAAAGCTGTATTATATTGCTTTTGCGAACATGACAATTCTCCTCGACGCGTTGAGAAAAAACTGGACAGAACTAGAAATGGCAATGGAGAGGTGGAAATGGCGCCTTTTTTTGTTTTTTTTGTTTTTTTGTTTTTGTTTTTGTTTTTGTTTTGTTTTTGTTTTGTTTTTGTTTTTGTTTTGTTTTGTTTTTTTGTGTGTGTGTGTGTGTGCGTGTGTGTGCGTGCTTGCGTGCGTGCGAGGGACGTGCCGCTTTATTCCTCTGATAATGAACACACTGAAGAAAGCAAGACATTTTTTTTGGATTGGAAGGAAACAGGTTAACTTAAGTGGAAAAATAAGTACCCCAAGGCTATGTTGCGTCTTCCACTTAAGAAATTATGTGGCGGCCATCTTTGAGATTCAAAAATGGTTGAGGTTCTGTCAAAGAATATATTTTTCCCATCTCAGATTACAAAGTGATACTATGTATTTGGAAATTTTGCCTGTCATATTTTTTACATTGCCTAAGAGAAGGGATTTGATAACTTCGTCAATTTTGATAAAGAAGAGAGCCGAGATAGTCAGTAGTTATAGTAGGGGAGGGTGTTGAGTGAATAACCAACTGTTTTATGCTTGAGATTTGGTAATTGTACATTTATTATGCGAAAATTAGTTCTGTTTTACGGGTTGAAAGATAGAAGGTGAAAATGATTCTTGTCAGTAAGACTGAAGTAGAAAAGAGTTGATAGTGGAACGCAGCACAGACTTCAAGAACATAGAAACGTTTTTATGTTAGACTGAATGGAAAGAAAACGCTTTTATTTTACGTTCTCGGTTTTATTGCGGAATTATGCTAAAATAAAAATTTCGTCTGCTTCTGTTTTCTCCTAATGTGATATTTCATGGTTGTCAGCGATCAACGAATTACATTCAGTAGGTGCTTTTTATCACCATGGGCAGCGCCTCCTAAAGGTTTTTTTTTTTTTTTCAATTGAATTTCATTACCTATTTTAACGTTGACTTCTGAAGAGCTTTGCTTTACACTGAAGTTGTTATTACTTCGTTACTTCCATCGGAACCAATGCCTCTTTCTAACAAGTTTTGGAGTGCTTTTCGAAAGTCAGTCTTAAAGAAGGTGTACAAAAGAGGGTTGATCAGGGCTGTGCTAAATTTAAAGTACAAGAGTATGATCTGTGCGGCGAATGGTGTCGAGTAGCCCGCTATAACGTCGGTCAGCAGCGTGATAATAAAATAGGGGAACCATCCTACCACAAATGTAATTGTCATGACAGCGTATATTATCAGTGCCTTTTTATCATTCCTTCTCTTTTCCCTGTCTTTCTTCTCAATTAAAGTCCCTTGTGTTAAGGCACGCCTAATTTTCTTTTCCTTGTGGATGTAATAAAAAATGTGGCCATCTATACAGACGATGATGAGAAAGGGCAGAAGCGCAAGCGATATTAAACTAAACACGGAATAACCAAAGTCAAATTTTCGGGTCAGATGTTGGTTGTCGCGTAGGATCCATGTGAGTTGAACAAAAGAAGCGCTCAGAGAGAAAATCCATACAGCCATCAAGAGAGACAACACTCTCCGCTTTGTCACCAGAATATTGTACTTAAAGGGTCTTTTAATCTTAAAGTAGCGCTCCGCTGTCGCTACCAGCAGGTGAAGAATTGTCGAGAACGACTGAAATCGATGGCAGAGATCCATGCTGGTGCAGATGGGTTTGGAATAAATCGTAGAGCAGAGGAGTACTAATGGAAGCGAAACAAGTCCAGCTAAGAAATCACTGGCTGCCAGACTTACCAAACAGTAGTTCGTCTTTGTTCGTAAATGTTTTGTGGTTGCAAACAATAAAAACACCAGCGAGTTCGCGCAGATTATAAGGACGCCCTGTAAAGACAGGAACACGATCACTGCTTGACCGGACTGTGTTTGATGTAGCATCCGATGGTTCATCTCTTGTGACGAATTTATGCTTTTTCGCCATGTTGAGTTGTCCATTTTCCTCCAATTTGTTCGCCGTAAAGACGACCTTTGCAAACACCTGTGGGTAGCCGGGTACTTGCACTGCCCTCTGAAGCCTCTTAAAGTCGACCTGAGGCTTGGTCTTTTATTCTACGAATGCAAGAACACGGCTAACGTAAAATCACGCGTAACGTTATCACGCAGTCTGTGTTGTGGCGTACGAGATTGTTTAAGTCTCTTGCCGCGCAGTTTCACAACTGAGTGAAGTTATTCATTGCGGCCGTTTATCACGGCCATAAGTGTGGCAATATTACATGTAAGAAATTCAAATTTGTATTTACCTTGTGAAGTATAATTGGTAATTGTTTAAACGTGATGAAAATCCTTCATGGCCGTAAATTATTGTTCCTGAGCTAAGATTGAAAGATGATCTTTTGAAGTGGCATCAGGATATTGTTTTACCTTTGAAGGACTTGTTCCGTTAAAGATTATTTTCCCTTTCTCACATTACCCCTATGAAGAGTGAACTTCTTGTTTTTAATTTTTTGTTTTTCGTGCGATTTGTCATCGTCAAGAACCACAAAGGTTTTATCAGCACTGGGGATTTCATTTCCTGTTACATTATTGATTTAGAAGCTAACTGTTTTGACAGTGTACTTTTCAAGAAAAATGTGCTAGGATGCGGCAAAATATACCACGATTGAGGTATTTTCAACTCTATTTGTATTCCGTGAACCGATGTATTGGCGAGTTTGAAAGTATCAAACTGTGAAACATTCTGCTCTCCTTCTCGTGCCTTTATACTTTCTTATATGATTAATGGAGCAAGATTTAAGAAAAATCATCGCAGATGCAGCAACTAGATATTTTAATGTTTTTCCTTTAGAGGTCCCCAGTTGAGAGGAGACGAGACTTTCAATTTACCTTAAGTAAACATTACCACAAGTACATTAAGTATGTTTAAGAACGAACTGCGACCGGTTTTAGATCCTTAGTGTGGCATTTGCGAGCCAAGGTTTAATGATATGCAGAAAGCCGATTAGATCTCTACGTACTGAAAAGGCTTTAAATAATTTGAAGCGTTTTAATCAAGCTCAAATGTTGTTACTTCGGCGACCAAAACTGGTTGTCGCATTTTTGATTCATCAGATTAATTTATTAGTGTTATGGCACAAACAAGAAGCAGTTTTTCGTCTGATTTCCTTTCCAAAGTAGTGATTAGGGTTATCTACCTTGATACAATTAACTTTTGTTATGACATGAAGGACTTCTCTCCAGATTATCTTGGAACAGAAATTATTTGATTGATTTCTCCACGCATGCTGAAGTTGTGAAGCAAAAAAAACTAATTAAGAATCGGGTAATTATGCTGCCGTTTGGTTTAAGTCGAAAAGGATGTTGATAGTGGCTAAAAATGAAAAATGTTGCTCAAGTACCAGTTCGTTTTGCTCTCGACATGTTTGTTAGGTTAAGCGGACCACCTGTCACAAACCGCTTTCTTTTTATTATCTTCCTGTTTCTCGGAAGCGAGAATCTTTTCTTCGTGTCGCTTTTTAAACCATTCGTATTACAAATACAAATTACCAGACATAGCCTCCTTGTAAGCAAAACACATTTTGATGGTTAAAGAAGCTAATAGCGCAACATTTTGGATCGAGCTAAAAGCTTCTCGGAGGTTGACCGGCGTGGTATAATCGCTGCTTTTGCTCTGACACTTTTTTGTCTTTGTGTATGAAATCCCGATTGTATTTTTCTCTTAAGGTGAAAATTTTCTGTAACTTAAAAGCCGTCAATAGTTAATTTCCTTCGGTCCAATATATTTCTTCCTGTACGAAATTTATCTACCTGAAACAGGTGACGATAAGATAATAACTTGACCGTAACACAAACATTTCCAGAGGGCCCTAAAAAATAATAGACATATGGAAATTTCTTGGAAAAAAGTGAAACTCTACCGTTCTGACTGAATTCGAAATTAAGAGTGACTATTGCGAAGGCAACTGTTTCCGAAAGGTAGCCAGGCTATATCGTCGAAGAGTCTGTTACTTTGAGCAAACAGCCGAGCTTTGTAAATGATAAAGTTTTATCTTTGGCTTTCAGTTGTCGAAAAACCTCTTTGTTTTAAGCCCGGAATACATTTTAAAATTGTATTTACGTTATTTAGTTTCTATTGTAAATTTTCCCGCGGCGCAGGTGTTCTCGGGTAAACAATTGCTGCGGGTTTTTCGATGAAAGCACGAACAAAAAAAAAAGGAATTTCTCGCGGAAAGAGGTTTGTTATATCTTTTCAATTCTTTGCATTAATTTTTCCATCTGTTTGTTTGCTTCTCTTTTTTTTTTTTCCGTTAAATAACGATTAAAAACACCGAGGCCCAGCTAAATTGACTAGGTAAGAATGTATAATTATACCTTAACCGAATGACGCCATGGTAACTCCAAAGAGCGACTTCTCTCTTTTGAAAAAAGGTTGCCTCTAAATCGGAAGTTTGGTAGTGAAATAATGAACGTTTTCGAACAGGTTCTTGTTTTCTTACCTTTTGAATTAACCACTGTCGCGCTTCACATCAAGCAATGACGATCAAATATTGGTGTTAATTTGTTTTTAGCGCATTTTGTTTATCTCGGCTTGTTTTTGGCGCCTGTTTAACACCTAGGTCTGTTACTTTGTAAGGGGCTAGTGAGGAGACCTCTATGGAGACTGATATTGCTTGCAGGGTTGAGTGAAATTCATTCCACTGGGAATTGCAATTATGCGCTGCTGGTAGGCGGGTCTCGTGGGCAGTCACGCTGCCTGTGGAAACGTGTGTGGTTAATTGTTTAATTAACTTGGCGCCTTGACATCAAAGTTTAATCAATCATTGTTTTAATTTCGAGCGTTTAGCGCGACATGGTAAGTGAATGTTGCCGGAAATCACATACAGGTTTAGCCTAAAGTTCACAAAGAAGCGAACAAAACAAATCCTTAACATGATATCATAGACTTATAAACATTTCCAGGTATTTCTCTGCGATAAAAAGCGTAATATTTCTTTTCTAAAATTGTGGTGTTCTTAACTTGGATTTATTGTTGATTTTTTGCCATTGTGAAACTTTCATTTGTGTGCTTTTAGTCCTTAAACCATCTTTGCTTTAAAATATTTTTCTTAAAAACTTTGTATTTAATATTCAATTGGGAGACTTAATTAACGGAAATAGGTAATTTTGTGCATCTACTTGTAAATTGTCCTCAAGGCATCGAGGGAAGAAACTCGTATGCATGACAATTTGAGGTCACGCACGTACGTCAAGCAACAAATTAAATGGAAATTTGCTATAAAAGTGCATACATTTTTCAGATGTAAATTTTCGATTGACAATCTTCATCACAGCTTTCGTTTTCCCAGATATTATTAATATTATTAATCCATCAGGAGCGTAGTTATAATTGCATGCAGCTTCTAAATCGCGATTCGTATTCCCTCGACCTTCAAGATTTTGATGTGCTGAAAGTAAACGTTTTGAACATGTCATCTTGTTTTTGACAAAATTGGCAACTAGCAAGAACTGATAACATATTAATGTAAGCTGGATATATCAACAAAGTTGAAATGGTAAATTGGCCACCGTAACGATTACAAAAGCTGACGTTTCGAGCGTTAACGCTCGAAACGTCAGCTTTTGTAATCGTTACGGTGGCCAATTTACCATTTCAACTTTGTTGATATATCTAAATTATTTCGTTACTCCCACCGACGCAGCCCCAAACAGTTTCTTTCGAAATTATCAGCCTTTATTAATGTAAGCCATCAGTTAAAAGTTATAATAATCTGGTCGATCATTTCCTATTTCTTTGGCGATCTTACTTTACAAGTAGAATTTCTGTCACCTCTCTTATTGTGAATTTGACTTGGAGACAAATGTTTCTACGTCAACCACAATTTGTAGTTGAATATTGGAATATTTCCATGTCTGGCAAAAAGCTGTTTCCATTACGTTATTACATCGATAAAGAAGAAAATGACTTGACCTTATAAAAATGGATCCCGCACAGGAATTTCTTGGAAATTACTCCTCCTATATTTTCAACCCTTAATTATTCTCGTTTTTAGGTTAACTCCATGTCGCATTCCCGATCAAAAAATAATCCTTAAGTTTTAATCTAACACGTTCAATACCTCTTCCTTTTAAAGGGATTGAAGGTGTAAGCAACTGATACTTTTCATCCTGCGCATTGAATTTATCAGCTAACTTATACGAACAGTACTCAGCTCTTTTATAGGCGGTTCATTGAGAACCGCCCTTTTTTCTTCAATTTTTTTGTTTGTTCTGTTGTTAAGTAACAGTCTTCGAAGGCTATTTTCTCTCAAGTATGATTCTATTTCTGTCAGTAGGTTCACTATAATTTTTATATTGCCAATCTTGTTTTCGTTTTGCCTGACCTTGAGCGTAGAGTAAGAAATTTAACTTAGGAAATGATTTAGTAAAGAGTACATATCTCGAAAGTACATTCTGCAACTTAACGTGATTCGCTAGCTTGCTAAGTGAGACACGATGAGTAACCATGAAGATTGACAGCTTAGTAAGTGCCATCTTTAAAAGTTGGTGACCAACATTCCCACTCAGATCTGAGCTAGACCCCAAGGCCGTAAGTTGTATTAAGTTGAAGGTAAAAGAATAAAGAAAGAATCCACTGTACAAGAGAGTATTGGAAATCTTCCAACATCTAACTGAAACAGTGATCACGAACGAATTGGCTGGATTGGAAAAAGTAGGAATTTAATGTTTCTGTTCTCCCTTCTGATTGGTTTTTCACTGTCTCAGTGTCCCCCGCTTTTCACAAGAAGCACGTTGGTTTTCACCAGCGACATTGTCAGAGTGTAGAGTCCTCAGAACGCTTCCGACCCGGTATGATCTGATGAAAGTGGCACGCAGAAGAAGTAGAACAAACCAATCACAACACGGGTGTTCAAGACCTTCGATGGCTCATTTAGTTTTCAAAGATCATAAGCAACAGTCACAAGCGGCGTCGGTTCTCTTCTTTCGATTCCATAGGTTTTTTTTTCCCACCGGATAAGAGTGACTAACTTCTAATTTCTCATTAAAGTATCACACCTAAATTCTTGATTCATAAGCAAATTCTCCTTGTCGGCACCTTAGGAAATGTATAGAGAACAGTGTGGAGAATATGCATGCTGATGTTAAGGTGTAAAGGGTTGATTAAAAGCTAGTTACCGGCGCCTACCGCCGCTTCTTAGATCTCTCACTTCCGCTGGTTAGGTTGTGTGTAGGCTCTTGTGTTTGGGTTTGCCTTGAGGCGACAGAGCGGAATAACGTGTACGCATGCGCTAGGTTTTGCGGCGGAAACGCGGATTTTGAGTCGTTTGCATGGTTAATTTCCTGTTCTGTTGCTTCGAGGCGTCGTTTTCCTTGTCGCTTTTCTTTTACAGAACAACCTCCAAAAACTTGGTACAGCCCCTAAGATTTTTCAAAAACTAATTTTCTCCTTAAAACCTCTGGAAATAGGAAAATGCCATCGACGAAAACAGAGTTCCTCGATTTTAAAAGTCAGCCCTTATTATTTTCCCCTAATTTCGCTAAATTATAGACCTATGACACTTGAGTCCACGTTGTTGCCCGCAGACCCTCTGACGTAGCATTTCACTATTCAACTGTGTCCCTTGAGGCCCTTTATTCGGGCACACCTGCCTACTACACCTGCCGTTTATGGGAAAAGTTATTGAAAACCCTGCATTAATGAAAACAGCCTTTAGAGTGTTATCAATACTTTCATTGAATCATTCTCTTTTTAGGTGGCTAACCTGCTGTTGTTATTTAGACTACGACACTGTTGCAGGCGCTGATAAATTTGGTAACGTCTTCGTGGTGAGTGTTTCTTTTCCATATTTTTTCTATGATGATGTGTCTGTCCTGTGCAGACTGTTAATTTAGGAAACCAACTGAGGGACGACATTGTAAAGAGTTTGTAAAGTTGACATTTCAAGCGCTTTGTCAACGGGTGAACGCGCAAAACGTTAGCTTCAGAAACAGACTAATTTACATTATCACCTCAGTTGATAAAACCAAATTATCTTGTGACACCCCCACTGAAGCAGCACCGCACTTTCTCTAGAAACTTACCCGTTTAATTTAGGGATGGCTTTTGTGATCTCTGCCAAATGCTGATAGTAATCACCTTTAACCTTGTTAATTAATTCAGGTTCGCCTTCCGTCCAGCGTTAGTGATGAGGTTGATGAAGACCCTACAGGCACTAAAGCATTCTGGGATCGAGGGCTCCTAAACGGTGCTCCCCAAAAGGTACGTTGTAAGCGTGGTGGCCGTAAAGATTGGGGCACACATGCAAATGCTTAGTCGACACGCAGTTGCGTTTTTATTTCTGTGGTTATGCCTAGCGTTCACATTGATCTAGATAACTTGTACAACTAGAACGGAACTGATTGAAAACGCTTTTCAAAGTGGATAAAGTTGAAAATGTCGGCTTTGTATGTTAGTGTGAACGGAGAACATTTGAAATCAGAGCTTTTTCCAAAGGATACATAAGTGCTTTACGTTTTGTTTGGGATGATCGAGAGGCGCTTATTTAGCGCATATTTATCGGATTGTTCAAGCGTTCAGGCATCGGTCATCGTGGTCATGCGCATGAAACCCATTTTGCCCGTGCTCCATAGTGGGTGGAAAAGGTTTTTTGTGTTTTCGAATTTTCCGAAAATTTTCCTAAATGGCCAAGATTAAACATTCTGGTTTTCATGCTTGACATTTTCTTGTTTTCTGAAGTTGTGCTATCTTTTCTTGAGCAGGTCGAGACGCTGTGTAATTATCACGTGGGTGAAACAGTCCTGTCATTGCAGAAGGCCACTTTGATCCCCGGAGGGTCCGAGTCGTTAGTTTTCACCACCCTGTCGGGAGGTATTGGTATGCTGGTGCCGTTCACATCAAGAGAGGTACAACCCCCGCCTCCCGCCCTACTTTTCAACATGGTGGTTTTTTTCTTTCTTTCTTTCTTTCCTTCTTTCTTTCTTTCTTTCTTTCTTTCTTTCTTTCTTTCTTTCTTTCTTTCTTTCTTTCTTTCTTTCTTTCATCCTTCAATCACCCTGTGTAGATGGGAGCTATGCTAGCCTGTCACAATTACTGGCACTGGGCGCTATACC